AATTTATAAAGTTGAGATTTTGTATTTCAGTATCTTAATATAAAATATTTTTTTAGATATAAATTTAAAATAAAAATACATTTTATATTTCCAAAAATCAAAGTGTACTTATTAATTTGTACATATTGATCAAAAAATATTAAATTTTATATTAACTTAGGAACATAAAACATATTTTTTTAGCTTTATTTCATCATTAGATTCCAAAAAATACACATCTTCTTTGTTTTTTATTAAATAATATCTACTATCATCTATGACTATTTATTGGTTTGATATCAAAGACATGAATTTTAAAGAAAAAAATCTCAATACAATCTTGTGTCACTCAAAAAGATTAAAAAATAATTCAAAATTGAAATTGTATTGATTTAGAATGGCTAATGGCAAAGACTAGAAGATTAGAAAGTCTTAAAAAAAGACTGACTAAAAAGACATTGATAAGAATGAAGAAGGCTCCACTCTTGCTTCCATATATACTCTTTAACTAGAAGCTATGTGGCAATATTCTATAGAACTTCTAACATGTATTGACTTTGCTAGATACATGACTTAACTTCGAAGGCAAGTTATCTATATGTATACTACATAATTAGCTTCTTCTACAAGTCACTAACATGTATAACATATGATTAACTTGTTGACCAAGTTTCTAGCCTATCAATTAATTATAAATACATTTAAACTTAAAACAACATCTATGAAGTTTTTAAAAAGCTTCTTTAACAAATATATAAAATTAATCTTCTTTTACTTGCTTCTACTTGATTATATATATAATTATTGGAATAAATATGTATGTCCGTGACATTATCCCCTCTTCTAGAGATGAGTTCCATAAAGAGAGACCATTATACATTGAAGAAATCTAAGAAGTAGCAAATTATATTTGCTACATACTCTAATCTTTGTTCTATTTGAAAATGGTTGATAGGTCCTCTTAGCCATCAATAGTGTTCTATATCACGACAAGAAGGCCATCTTATTATTTGATTATTGTTAATGCCTTCATAACTTTCTTTAAATAAAATATTTAAAATACCGCCATAAATTATTCTTATTTTTAATAGAATCACCAAACATTAGAAATCTCTTCCAAAATTGTGATACCAAATACGTTGTATCTTGCCATCTATTCAAAGAAAGACATGTCGTTCTTGATGATTTTCATCTTGATTATGTTGTCTTGAACATTGTAACAATTACAATGTCTTGTTTGATAATTTAATAAACATTAGTTTTTGAGTTGAAACTAATAATTGCTAGTTCTCCATGTCTTTAATACCATAAATATATAAAAACTATAAACAAAGATAAAAGATAGAAATCTATTTTCATTGTATCTTATTTCATTTTTTAGCAAAAATTTGCTATATTTCATCTTGATTTTGATGGATATAGTCAATGAAAAGCCTCGATTTTCTTTAATGCATTTACAAAATTCTTTTTTGGCTTCCAAGTGCATTTATTAATATCATATTTGTGCTAATGAACAAGATATTTTAATTTATTTTGGCATTGCCCTGAATCTAAGACTTTTTCTATCTTGAACTCTTAATTATTATCCACTTCTATAGGAAGAGGTGGTATTTGTTTTCACTCCAAGATATTCATTGTCCTATATGATTCAAGAAGAGATACGTGGAATATAAGATGGATCTTCATAGACTTTCATAGATATAATCAATAAGCAATAAAGTTGACTTCCTCACAAATAAGAAAAAGTCTAAGCCTATGAAAGTCTAATTTGTCATAAGAATAAATAGTCTTAATATTGCGAAAAAATAATTATATCTTATCATCTATATTAAATTATAGTTGTTCCTTACAATAGACCTCTATATTGATCTTTTGTTATTCTTGAGTTTCCTTTAATTGCACCTTCATTGCTGTATGTAGCTTTGGCAAAGGATTTATTAAATCTTTTGCTACAGGATTATCAATTTTTGAAAAGTAAAAAATATCAAATTATGGATGATAACCATAATTGGAAAAAAAAAATGTTTATTAAATAGAAAAATATATCAAATTATTATATGTAAACTTTGTCAATGACAAAAGAGTTGTCGACTCATCTTGATAATAGATAATGATACACTTTAAATATTGCTCTAGAACCTATTCTGTTTATCAATTAGTTTGACAATAAAAAGTCAAAAAGAGCTTTATATTGATCTTCAAAATCTTAAAAAGGATTTTTTAAAATCTTGATACAAATTGAGTCTTTATATTTAATATAATATCTTTAAAAAATCTTTGATAGAAATAAATATTTTGAAAATAAAGCTTAGCTATTTCTTTACTTGTAATAGATTTTTTATATGATATAAAATATACCATTTTCATAAAACGATCTACTATCATAAATTTAAAATCATATGAACTTCAAACTAGAAAAATCCATAATATAATCTATAGAAACAAAAGACCATGATTGTTCAAAAATAAGTAATAGCTAAAGAAGTCTATGATGTTGACAATAAAGAATTTTTGATCTTGAATAAGTATCACATGATTGTACAAAGTCTTTAACTACATTTTACATTTGAGGCAACCAAAAATCTCTTGATATTAGCTCAAAGGTCTTATTGTATCCAAAATGTCTTGCTTTTGGAAAGTCATGATAAACTTGAAGAACGCGTAATTGTATTTTGTCTTTTAGAATATATTATCATGCCTCAAAATAGAATAAATTATCTTTAAATTCAAACTTAGAAGTATTATGAGACTCAAGAGAATTATTCTCAATATCATGAATAAGAAGATTAAACAACATATTTAATTGAATTTGCTTAATAATCGTTGAATCAATAATTAATGTTCATTTTATTGCTCAAAGATGAAAATACTCCAGCTTCAAGAAAATTATTCTTTGTTGATTAAAAGGTGTGTCTTTTTCTTTTGGTATAAGATAAGAACATTTAAAAATGGTGTCTAACAAATTTTGTTGTTTTCAAGTTGATAAGTGATCTTTAAATCAAATCTTGATAAAGACATGCTCTAACAAGTTTAGAAAAGATTGAAAATACCTACAGACATGAAGTACTTGAGGTTCTTTTCATTTGTATACACGATAATTAGACTTAAGGTGCCTTTTAAATAATGGCACTATTCTTAGAATGAATCCATAATTGCAAGAAGTTTTTTCTGTCATAGATCTCATAATTAATATTTGCTATTAAAATCTTTTTGGAATAAAACACTCTTGGGTGGACCTTCTTATGTATTCCTATTTGTGACAAAATAAATCCCATAGAAAAATCTAATGCATTTGTCTCTATGAAGAATGCTTTAAAAAAATTGATGTGATACAATATTGGTGCAAAAATTGATGTTGTCTTTATGGCTTCAAAAGATGTTTCAACTTCTTTGCTCCATTCAATTTAATCTTTACATGTTAGACGTATAAGAAGAGCAACAACTTAAAAACCTACTAAAAACTTATAGAATGATCACTATTACTAATTTTTAATTAAAAGTTAAAATATTATATGTAATATTCAAAAAAAAAAAGTTTTAAAATAGTGTGATTTTAAATAATACTAAGTTTTTTAAAAAATGTTAATTATAATTTTATTTTACTACTTCATCAGATATGTATGTATTAATATTTTTATATCTACAATATTATATAATTGTAAGATTTTGTGGATTCTTTATACTTTTTTATTAGCTATTTAGTTATATCTCTATGTTCAATTTTTTTTATATTTTATATTTTATTTTTTATTTTCTGATTTTCTATAATAAATATTATCTAAGTTTTATATAAGTATAAGCTTAGGCTACTTGCACACCCCAAATTGCTATACTTACATCTATTGCATTTATACACATACTTAATGCATTTATTTGGGTGCTTTGCTTATCTCCTATAAATAGATTTAAAGATGACTTCTTTTTCCTCTTTCTTATCTTGGTATGGATCTTAGTCTTAGCACAAGTCCCATATTTTCTTTCCCTCTTCTTTGTCAATTTTTGGTCAAATTAGCAAATCAGCCAATCAAATGCCTTTATTTTCTTAAGAGTACAATTTGATATATGTGTTTAACAACTTGGAGTGTGCATGTAGTATGAGCCATAAGTACATTGTATTTTAATTCATATATCTAAATTTATAACATTTCTATGTTTAACTAAAATGCATCTTATATTTTTATTAGTTTAATAAGTTTGATTTTTTTATAAGAAGTGTTAATTATTATTTTTAATTAAAATTTTAAAAATTATTCAAAAATATCTATTATAAAATTTATTTATATTCATATAGATTTGATGCTAAAGAGATGTGTATGAATAATATCATCTTCTACAATGTCAATTTGCACTCTTGTCATAATTTTTTTATTCTTTGATTTTTTTAATCCTGATAATTTTTTGCTTCTCAACTTTTTTTTTCTTAAAAAAAAAAATCAATAACATTTAGGTTTATTTTTTTTGAAATTTGGAATTTTCATTGTTTATTAGATATAACTTTTAACATTAAAAAAAATAAAGATTGATATTAATAAGATAATGATACTTTTAAGATATAGAATAAGAAGATCTTTATACTTAATAGATATACTGAGATGCAACACAGTAAAAATCTTTTAGTTGGTAGAAATCAAGAAACTTCACTTGGATTGTCTTATACATAAAAATAAATTAACTCAAAAGCTTATAAAGAAAAAAAAATGGATTTCTATAATTTTTTTTCTTATAATGTATAAATAGTATTGTTACATAGAATTTTTATTTTCATTGTCTCAAAAAGCAATAGTTTTGAAAAGTTGAGAAAATATGTCGAATTTTTTATGAAGTGATCATTAAAACTATAAAAAAATATCAAAATTTTTATATATTTTTAAAGTTATTAAAATTGAGCCATGAATAAATATATTTAGACTTGTTCTATTTAAATGATATGGTCCATTTCATAACCTTTTTTAACTCTCTATAATATCTAAAGACTAAGACTTTTGAAAGATAATTTTTCTTTACCAAATGCAAAACTTGAATAAGGCTTTTAATCCACAATCTTTCAAGTGGACTTCAAGATATGAAGTCTCCTTCATTGATTATGACAAAGATACAACAAACTATTAGTATACATTACAATAACCTTTGCACACATAATCTCTAAACACAATTAAAACACTACAAATATCTTAACATATAAAAGGATATGAAATCTTTTCCAAAGTTTTAAAATCTTTCAAGAGATTATAGTCCAACAATCCTATACTTTTACCAACTGATAAAAATCCTTAAGACCTTTATTGCTTAGCAATAAATATCTTCTCTATAAAATGAACTTTGACTTATCAATAACAAAACATGATATCTAAAAGAACAACAAAAAAAATTAGAAACGACACAAAACTCAGCAATTTAATATATACAAAAAATATCATTAATTCCTCCATTAAATGTCTTCAATTACTCCCTGCTACTCAATACAGTAAGTCATAATTCACAATCACAAATTAATAAAATTCCACATTGACTTCACCATCAAAGGCAAGTGTTTAGTCAATTTGAACAATTACACTAACAGACTTAACACTTAAACACTATTTCAAAAAAAAAAGAAAAAAAAGAAAAAAGAATTCAAGTAGAAAAAGCAGGAAAAACAACACCAAAATTTGACCAATCATCTAGGTTAAATTTAGTACAACTAGATTGTCATGGGAGCTCCTCTTGTTAATGTGATGGCCCAAGAGTGTAAACAAATCTTAGTAATGCAGAAAGAATGAAGCAATGTTGTGAAGAGGTGGTGTCACAATGGGTGGCGTTGCTGATTGCGGCGCGTCCTTGGTGTCCTGCCAGACTCAGCGCCATGTCCACTGCCCACGACCTTCCGCTACACAACAACGTCCACAGAGATTGCAGTTTCGCACGGCAACCCCTCCGATACGGTCCCATCCAGCTCGGAGCACCCACCACACACGGGAAAGCACAGGAAACACTCACTCACACTCACACACACATACACACACGCACGCATACAACAGTGTGGCTTCTGATGCGCCGCGCCAATCTGAGAGGGGCATGCCTGAGGGTCCAAGTCCGCGAGCCTAGCCATTCCTGGCCTTGACGCCCACCAACAACGAGCACCCAGGGAGCAGCGAGGCTGCAGCATGACAACCGCCCGTCAAAGTGATCCGCAACGCAACGCAAGGAAACCAAACAGCACCCCAGATACAAAAAAGGACAGCGTGACCAACCTTGTCGAGAAACGGGGGAGCACTAAATAAGGTCATTCCAACATTGAAGTGCAGCGAGGCCAAGGATTGGTCGGGATCTCTGACGCCTCGGGGCGAGGATGGGATGATGATTCACAATCCGTGGCGTTTGCTGCGGCGTCTACCGTGTCTCCCTCCCTCCCTCCCTCCCTCGGTATCCTGCCCGACCTGCACCCTTCTCTTTCTCGCTCCCGCGTTCCCAACACGCTCCCCATGCCACCCCGTCCGTTCCCGCTCGCGGTTGCCGTGCCCCCGACCTCGCAGCGCTGTACCCGACCTTCAGACGGACGATGCGCCGACCGGAGGTCAAAGAAAACCAGGCGTAGATCCAGGGGGTAGGGATGACGGTGAGCGCTGAGGGGGATTGATGGTACGGCGTCGCAATGCAATTGCAACTAGAACCGGAACTGGAAATCGAGCGATCTCGGAGATACGAGAATACAGAGGCGTAGTTCAATTGTGCGAAGCGTGCTCAGGGTCCGTTTTTCCCTCCCTCGTTGCGTTGCTGATACTGTCCTGCGTTCCTTCCTTCCACTCTGTTTCGTGCTCTGCCCCTTCTCTTCTTCCTCCTCCTCCTCCCTCTCTCTCTCCCTCTCCCTCCCTCTCCCGCTGCCGTTGCGGCCTCATCTTCGACGTTTTCATCAAGAAAATAGCCGCAGCTGGTCTCGTGTGCGCAGGGAGTGGCCCTCCTTTCCCACGGTTTCTTCACGTCCGGTGGCAATCTGCTGTGCTTCTCGTGAGGCGGGCTTAGTGGCGGGGTTTGTTGTTGGGCGCTGAAGGGTTGGAGTGCGCGTCACGTCTCGACAGGCCAGTAGTTGGTGGGCGGTGTTGGTGCGTACTTGCGTAGGCGAAGCGGGGCAGTGGTGGAGGCGCGCGTCGGAGGGGCTGTGGAAGGACGAGGGTGGGACGCAGAGGAGTCTAGGGTTCGCTGCGTGGGGTGAAGAATATTGATCCGCGGCCGCGGGGAGTCATTTAATGCAGTTAGGTATGTGGGAGTGGGTTTTCTTGGTCGCGGGATGGGCGCGGAGAGCGATGGAGGGGACAGAGCGGGAGGGGTGTGTGGTTGATGGGTGGGGGGTTGGGGTTGGAGCGTTGTGCGAGGGGAACGGGGCGTTGATAATGTTTGCGAGCGATTAGGTCATTGGGCGACCGATTGCCCGGCGGGGGTAGGGTCGGGGATTGTGACTAGAGAGTGCGTCGGATCCGGGCGACAGCATGAGCGAGCGTGTTTCCGTGCGTGTTTTGGAAGCACGGTGTGTGTGTTCTGTAGTACTCGTTTGTGTTTAGACGAGTGTTTATTTATTTATTTTATCGGCGTGGAATTAAAGTTTGTGCGACGGAGTGGGCACGGAGCCTGGGGTAGAGTAGTGCATGGTGATGCGCGTAGGAATGTAAGTACGAAGCATTCGGAGAGGTCGATGGTTGTGCACATGAATGAAAAATACGTATCCGACGGCATATGGAGGATCGGCGGGCCCAGCGTGGGAGCTGACCATGCGCCATGGTTGGTTGCGGGCATGGATCTACGTTTGTGCGATTGGGATGATCGATAGTGACATGTTGGAGAAAGGAAGGGGGTGGCAAACGGTGGATGCGAGGAATGGTCTGGGCAGGAAAGACGCGGTAGGTCTGGTGCGGGTGGGGCGGGACTGGAATTAGCGTGACGCGCGCACATTTGTGGTTAGGTTTTCATTGCATCCATGTGTTGGGCGAGTATGAGGGGGAGAAGTAGGGATTCCAGTTGCGGTGAGAAGGTGATCCGTTGGAGTCGTCGGGGGTAGCGAGTGGGCGTCACGCGTGTGTGAGTTGGAGGAAGGAGTGACGGTGTTGATGGTTTGTGATGGAGAAAGAGAATACAAGTGGGATGTTGTGGGAATTGGAGTTAAGCGTGGACCGAGTGCAGCGTAGGCAGTGCTGCGATTGTTGGATTGTTCTGTGGCGTGTAGTGATAAACAGGGTCGGTGTGTCATTGTTGGGACTGATGACAGTCGCGCATTGGACGGGGGATTGGTGGTGTGGTTGGTGCAGGGTACAGTTTGGTGAGCAGAGGGGGAGTTGGTGTTGCACTTGCTGCCGCAGGCAATAGGAGCTCGAAACATGTTGACAAGCGACAGGAGGTACGTGAGCTTTGGTTGGGATGCGTGGTGGGGTGGGTGTAGAGAAGGGATGTTGGGTGTTGGAGTGGTGAGAGTAAGATCCGGTTTGCTGCAGCGTGTCATTGGTGGCCGTAGTTTTGGTGAAGAGGGTGTACAAGAAGTTAGGGGCGTCGGCACGGTATGGAAAGGTGGGTTGTATGGAAGAGCCAAGGTAGGTCGTGGTGTGGGAAGAGACGTGTGGGTGTGGTTGTGCGGGTGGATGTGGGAGAGACCGCGGTGGATGGAAGCTGGGCGTAAGATGGCGGCAATTATGCGGCATTGGTTTGGACGGAGTTGGTGATAGGAGACAATGGGTAGTGCAGAGCGGAAGGAGGGTCAGTGCGCATGGGGATGACGAGAGGTGTATTTGGGAAGGGGGGAAGCGCATATGGGGAGGGCTAGTGTGGCGCACAGGAGTGTTGGTGCAGCGATGAGTGGCATCGGGGTTGGCAGGATAGGTATATGTGGAAATGGGAGTGGAGAAGGAATGTGAGGCGAAGTGGGAGAAGATTGCGGAGAGGCAGTGTTGTAGGCGGATGCGTGTGGATAGGTGGGAGCAGTGAACGTAGGAGCGCAGGGTGGTTTATGATGAGCATGTTTGGCGGACGTTTGGGCGACGATTGAGGGGCGGGGTGGATGTGGGGTGTGTGTGTGCAGGGCGAGCTCGGCCCGGCGAGGTTTGCAAGTTTTGGGGAAGATACCTGCAGTACCTAAGCCTATCAACCTGCCAAGCCAACGGTGAGGTCATGTTGATCGGAGAGAGTGGTTGAGAGGTTGGGGCGTGGATGGAGACGCAAGCGGCGATGAGTTTGTGGTTGGGTATAGGGGGTGGATGTATGGCGCGCGGTGCTGAAGTAGATGTGGGCGTTGTTTTGTAGGTTGGAGAATCGTGGACTGGACCCGAATGTGGAGATCGTACCAAGGTAGTGGCTTTTTGTGGAGATGGGAAGAGTTGAGTTGGGTGAATTGTGGTGCGGACGTTGGGCGTGGCGATCCGGTAGTGAATGTGGTGGGGGATGTGTGGTGCAAATGGGTGTGTTGTATGGGATGGTTTTGTGCGGGGACGCGTGGGTGTGTCATGTGGGTTGTGTCGGGTGACGGGAATCATGTAGGATGTGGTGGTTGGGGGAGGGAAGAGGTGAGAGCTGGGGTTGGATGTCGGGCAAGGAATTGATGGTTGGATGTAGTTTGCCGGGAGTGGTTGTGAAGAGGGTTGTGGTTTTGTGGGAGACGTGGTGGGTGGTGTTGGATTGGGCGAAGTTGGGGGTGGGGGTTGTGTCGCGGTGGCGTGGAAGCGGTGAGTGGCGGTTGGGATGAGTGAAGATTGTGGATGGTTTGGGTGGGTGGAGTACGGGCGGTAGGACGTGGGCAGAGCGGGAAGGGGTTGCGCGCGGAAGTGCAGGAGGTGATGACGATGGGTTGTTGGGTGCGTGGTGTTGTGCGCAGGGGTAGTTTGAGCTGGGGATCTGGTGGGACTTCGCCGTCGACGAGTAGCAACGCATGGGGGAGTCCAGCACAGGCATCGTCTCCGCCTAGTGGCACTGGAGTATGGGGACCAAAGGCGGGTGCAGCATCCGGGGGCAGCAGCGGGACGGGTGGAGGGGCAACGTCGGGGAGCATTCCACGTCCGGGGTCGGGAGGCGGCGGCGCGCGTCCGCAGTCAGCGGAAAGTGTGGGGCAGACGCAGCAGGCGGGCGAGTCGTTTGGAGGAAATACGAACTCGAGCAGCGCGTGGGGTGCGAGGCCGTCTTCGGCTTCTGGAGTGTTGGGGCAAGCGCAACCGCTGCTGGCGCAGGCGCAAGCTCAAGCCCGTCCTCGGAGCGCGGACATTTCACGGCCGAGTCGGAACCTGTCGGAGTTTGGGGATGAGTCGGGAGAGTCTACTCCACCGGGCAGCGCATCATGGGCGACGCGGCGCAGGCTGGTAGGATATGGATGGGTTGATGGATTTCGTGGGGAATGCAGTGGGCATGGGCGTGGTGGAGACGAGAGAGGGTGGGTGAGCAGAGCAGTTGGGGACGCAGTGTGAGGTGGTGGTGGGCGAGAAAGTGTGGGAGCAGGCGGAGGAGGATGGGTGGTGGTGTGGAGGCACGTGAGTAGCAGTGGGCAGCATCGGAGGGCGGAGCAAGTAGGGGCAGTTAAGGGGTGGGAATGAGAGGGTGTGACGAGTGAAAGTGTGGCGAACTGATGGATGAAAGGGGTGTGTGTGGGTCAGGGGGAGGAGGGTCACCAGGCGTCGCGGTTTCAGCTGACGAGGACAGACTTTCCTACATTGGGGTCGGAGAAGAACCCAGACCTGCGTCCACAACAGAGTAAGCGTGGTTGGGGGGAGTAGATGATTGCGTGATTGATGGTTGTGGGTGCATTTGATGGAGGAGTGGAGTGGACGTGGACGTGGGCGTGTGGATGGATGGTGAGGCGTGAGGCGTTTGTGTAATGTGCAGGCAATTCAGGCGCGGAGCGTGGACCTCTGGTGGATGCGAAAGGGGCGCATGGCGAGGAGAGGAGGGCGCCTACGCCACCACCTGGTCCTCATGGTAAGGACGTCGGACACGGTGCTTTGAGGTTGGGGGGTAGGGGCAGATCGCGTACGGTACGGTAGGCTGACGAGCGCGTGTTGTCGTGGTGCAGAAGAGGTTCCAGCAAGGCCTCGCAGCGCCGGGTACGGGCATCCAGAGCGGGGTGGTCCGGAGAACTGGAGGAGAGAGGCGCCAGCATTCCAAGGACCAGTTCCGCGTGCGGAAGGGAACTGGCACTGGGATGGGCCATCAGGAAGGCCAGCATACGGCGGGCAAGGTCCTTCCCCGGACAGGTGGAAACGGGAGGGTGGTCCAGCAGACGAGAACTGGCGGCGGGGAGGAGCTCCACCGGTGGGTCAGTATGGGTCTGCACCGGGGCCTGGTCACTATCCGCACGAGGGGCCAGGGTTCATGCACGGACCTCGGTTCGGCCCGGGGCCAGCACATTTTGGTCGCGGAGCGGGAGGTCCTGGCGGATACGGTCACCACGGGGAGGCGTACGGGAACGCAGGACCGCTGTTGCGACCAGGGGGGCCGATGCACCCGATGAGGCCGAACATGTATCAGGGGCCGGTGCCGTACGAGGGATTCTATGGGCCTCCAGGGCCGGGGTACCAAGGGATGGAGGATCCGGAGCGGATGATGATGGGGATGGGCGGGGGGCCAGGGCCATACGGCGGATATCTGCCGCACAGGGGGCCACCTCCGGAAGCGTTCGGGCGGTTCGGGCACGGGGGCATGAAGCAGCAGGGGCCGCGGCACTCGCGAGAAGGGAACTTGCGAGAGCGCGGCGAAGCGGTGGGAGAAGGGTATCACGAAGGTCCGAACTACCACAAAGAAGGTGGTGAAGGTGGCGGGCACAAGGATGGAAGGGGGTACGAGGAGCGGTTCAACGGGGGGGTGGGTGGCGGTCACGAGGTGGGCGACAACCGCAGAGGCGGGATGATTCGGGGAGGCGGTGGGGGGGTGGACGTTCGCGGGCACGCACAGGGAAGCGCGTCCGGCGTGCATCACGGCGGGCAGGGGCACCGTGACTGGGGAGCAGCCGCAAGCAGCGACGAGCCGATGGATTTTACGAAGCCGGTGTTCGAGGAGGAAGCGCGGTCGTCATCCGGCGGTGGTTCGGGAAAGCAGTCGCCGGTGTATGCAGAGGAGAAGGGGGCGGGCGGAGGGGAGGTGAAGCGGGAGATTGCGAAGGCGGATGCGGAGAAGAGCGCGGTGGATGCGGAAGCAGTGAAGGGCGAAGAGAAGACGTCCGTAGTTTCGGGAGAAGTGATTGGGGACGGTGAGGAATCGAGCGCGGCGAAGGCGAACTCGGAGGGCGGAGACGATGCGGGCATGAAGGAGGAGGGCGAGACAGAAGCTGTGCGAGCGGGAGTAGAGGAGGAGGAGGTGGGGAAGGAGGTGGTGGTGAAGGAGGTGTTGGTGAAGGAGGTGGTGGAGAAGGAAGTGGTTTCAAAGGAGGTGGTTGCAAAGCTTGTGACGAAAGACAAGTGGGAGAGGGGCAGCAGGCGAGTCGACGGTCAGAGCCAAGGGCGTGAGGCAGGTGGGAATGCGGGAGGCTCAAATGTGCGATCGAGCTCTCACAGCGGCGGTGGGAAGTCGAGTGTCGTTGGGGGCTTTGCGCGAAACGGCGAAGCAGATGTTTCCGGCGGCGCACAATGCGTGCGTCAGTCGAGCGAGGGGATGTCGGAGAAGTCGGAACCGGAGGTCCCTAAAGGTAACGAGAAGGGGCGGATGTTTAGGCGTCCGGAGAGCCCGAAGGTCCAGGTCGGTCGCGGCGAGGGCGATGTTCCGGATGGCAGTGCGAGTCTACCAGGCGCTGGGCACGAGAGCAGCGGGAAGGAGGTGGCGAAACCGAAGGGCAAGGCGTCTTCCCACGACGTGGAGAAGGAGTGGAGGCCGAAAGTTCCGATTGCAGAAGTGAGTCCGAGGCATCATGCGGGTGGTGCAGCTCAGGCGTCGAAAGCGAGCGGCGGCGGTTCCGCAGGAGCAGCGGAGGGCACGAAGAGCAAGAGCTCGGAATCCGAGAATGGACCGCGGGGTGTGTCGAGGGCTGATAACATTGAACCACAGGTGGGGTGCGTTGGGGTGGCCGTTGTTTGGGGTGCAATATGTGTCGTTTGGGCGGGTGATGCGAGGGCATGGGGACAGATGTGTTGGCAAGGCGTTTGTGCAGTGTGAGGAAGGAGGTTGGGTCGGGTAGTGTGGACAGACGAGTGGTGTGATGGGTGACGTGGTAAATGCAAGTGTGAGGTGGAGGCGGGAATGTGTGGTGGGAGCGTGCTGACAATGGTTGTGTGGGGCGTGAAATGGGTGTGTAGCGGGGGTCAGCGAAGGAGAAGGCAGCTCAGAGGTCAAACCGATTGGCGAAAGAGGAGGAGGAATGGGTGAAAGAGCAGAAGGCGAAGGCGAGGGCAAAGCTGGAGGAGCTGAATCGAAGATCCAGTGGCGCAGCGGGAGGTGGAGGCAAGGAAGCAAGCGCGGTGGAGGTGTCGGGGGAGGTGGAAGAGAGTCAGGAAGGCGTGGAGGATGTCGGGGCGGTGGAGGCAGAGGCAGTGGCGCAGGGCCTCGGGAGCAGTAAACGTGGCGGGCGCAACGAACACGGGAAGCGGGAGCGGGACAGGAAGGCGAGCGGGCGGAAAGGTGGAGTAGGAGAGGTGGATCGAGGTAAAGTGGGTGTGGGTGGTGCGATGGGAGCGGGCCCTAGCGCGAGCGGTGGTGCCGTACTGAGCACCCCGGTGGGTGCGGGTGTTGGTGAAGGACAAGGCCAACAGGCGAACTCGCAGCGCGAGGGTCGGCACAGGGGACGGCCGGAGAAGAAGCAGGTGATTGCGAGGGTGGAGGAAGTGGAGCGGTCGGTGGGAGGGGGTAGTGCGTCGAGCGGCGTCCCTGCGGCAGGCGGCAGCGGGGGCTGGAGCATGGAGATTGTGGCAGCGCCGGAGGCGGATTCAGGAATCGCAGGCCATGTGGGTACAGGCAGCACGGAGGGGTCAGGCAGCCTGCGTAAGAGCGAGAGCAGTCGCACGAGCAGGAACACAGAGCGTCCAGAGGCTCCAGTGGTGATGATGGCGGAGAGCATTCAGTTTGGTGACATAGTGGTATCGGAGCTCCACAGCACGGAATTCCACATCTCCGGGAGCGAGCAGGGCGCGGATGCAGGCGTGAGCGGGTGGCACGGGGACGCGGGGAAGGAGGCGAGCTTGTCGGGCGATGCTCTGACGGGCGACGAAGGGTCGGCGGTGTCGACGAACGGAGACGGTCCCAGCAAAAGGATGCAACGCAAGGGTCGGGGTGCTCGGCGTCCGGGGAGAAGCGACAGGGGATCACAGGATCAACGGGCGGCGGAGAAGTCTCACGGGATCGATAACCTGGTGTGGGCTCCGGTGCGGTCTCCTGGAAGCGTGGGAGGGACGACGAAGGGAGAGGGGCCTCAATCGGGGTACGGGCAGGAGGAGGGCAGCGCGGCACCGCAGCAAACGCGGGGGAAGAGGGCGGAGATGGAGCGGTACACTCCGAAGCCTCTGATGAAGTATCAGGAGGCTTCGGAGCAAGCGAGTGGGACCCCGCATCAGCACACACAAGGGGGACAGAACCCGGGCTCTGGAGGCGGCGTTGGCGTTGGCACGGGGGCGGTGGCGGTGGTGGAGGGTGCAGGGGTTGGTGTTGGAGAAAGCAAGCAGTCGTGGTCTTTTGGAGACGCGAGGGGTAATCAGGAGGCGAAGGCGGTGGATGGTGGGAGTAAGGGCGGGAGGTCGCATGGATCTTGGCGGCAGAGGAGCTCCGGAGGCGAGCGGGTGAGCGAGAGCGCGAGGGAGGGGAGCGGTGTGGAGTCTGCAGGATCGGGTCACGGGGATGCAGGACATCAGCAAGTTCAGCGGCAGGATCAGAAGTACGGTGGCGGAGGAGGTGGGGGTCGTCGCAATCAGTCGGGATCGGAGCAGGTGATAGCGGGTGCACAGTCGACGGCGGTGGGTGGTGGCCCAGGGTCTGGCGCAAGCGCAGGGCCAAGCCCAGGTTCAGGCCCAGTTGGAGCTGGCGGTCGAGGTCCAGCGGCGGGTGGCGCGCAAGCGTCGGAGAGGGAGCATCCGGCGGACAAGAAGCTGTATCAGCCACCACGGCCGGCGTCTGTGTCTGGTCAGCGCGGTCAAGATTATCGCGGGCATGGTCCTTACGGATCGGAGCACAAGGGGCAGGAGCAGGGCAGTGGAGCACATTCTCGGCAGGCGAATGCAGGAGCAGATAGGGGTGCTGCATTGGAGAGCGTGGGGTCGCAGCAGCAGCGCAACAGCGGTGGGCATCATGCGAGGAACCAGAGTGCGGAGAAGGAGCAGGGCCCGAGCCACCAGGTGTATCTGACCCCACACGCACAGCAGAAATCGCAGGGTGCAGGAGGGTTGAAGGAGTCGAGTCAGGCGGTGTATCGGGAGAGGGAAGGGCAACAGCAGCAGCTGGGTCCTCGGGGTGCAAGCCAGCATGGCGGGGAGGGCGGTGAGCTGGGGCCGTACAATAGCAACAGCAACAGGGGAAGGGCGGAGAGAGATCAGGCGGGGAGGGCGCCTTCGGGTGCGCAGAGAGGGCAGGGTCAGTGGCAACAGACGGGGGGCAACGAGGGGTTTCGGTCAGGTGCGTCGCGGACGCATGGTCCGGAGAGAGACGGAGGGGCGAGTCGTGAGGCGAGCAGGATGGAGGCGTCGAAGCAGCAGGCAGCGGAGGCGCAACGGGGTCAGCAGTCGGAGCAGTCGGGGCAGCAGCAGAACAAAGGAGGGCAGCAGGCAGGGGCGGTGGCGATTCCAAGCGCGAAAGCAGAGAGCGGGGGGTGGGTGGGAGAAGGTGGGAGTCCGCCGGTGGGACGTGGAAGGGATTACAACCAGGGTCGGAGGGGACGGTTGGGTGGTCGTTCAGGTCCTCGGAACGTGGAGATGGAGCATCGACGGGATCCTCAAGCGTCGAAGCAACGGCTGGTAATTGATGCTACAGGTGGGGCTGTGCCAAGTCAAGTTGGAGGTTAGCAAGGTTAGTTATTTGTCGTGCCCTTGATGGGGAATAGGGAGAGAGGCGGACGGGGAATGGGATGGGGTGAGGATGGGCGTGGGTGGAGTAGGGTATGGTGGGGATGGAGCACGTGGGCGGGCATGAAGTAGTAATAGCGATGCAGAGAGGTGGAATGCATGAAGACGGAGGGAGTGAAGGGGTCGTGGGTGTGGTTGGTGGATGGGGAGGCGTAGAAGGCCGATGGGTTTGGAGTAAGCATGGGGTTTGCAGGGGGTGGGGGTGACGGTGCGGACGTAGAGTGGCGCAGGCGAAGTGGTTGGAATGAGGTTTCGGAAGTTCAGGTTTGTTGCATGAGGGGGTGAGGTGGTGGTGGGGATGAGGTTGCGGTTGGGCTGAATCGTGATGAGAATGTGTTTCAGGAGGTTTGACGCGCGGATAGGCGGGGCGTCGCGTGGGTGTTGGCGTGGAACGTGTGGATGAGGTGGGGGGGGGGGGGGGGACAACGGAGCGTGTGGTGGAAATGTGGGCGTGGCGGCCACAGATGGAACGAGCAGTGGTGTGGGTGTGGTGCGGGCAAGTCGTTGGACGCAGCGGGTGGCATTGTGGCAGCTGTGGCAGTGAGGAGGGGACGTGTGCGGCTTTTGCTTGGCGGGGACATTGGTGCGAACGACAGCTTGGGCAGGCGCCGCGGACGAAAAGGGTGCGAGGGAGGGGCTGAAGAGGTGTGACGGGGTGTGAAGTGCAGGGTCACATCAGAGCAAAGCGTGGGCGGGATAGATGAGTGCGTGTACTGTGGTGTTAGGACGAAGTGGAGGGCTGTTAAAAGGCAACGACTGATTCCCGAGTAGGAGCTCGCTGTACAAACTTGTGTCTGTAAGGTCCTTGGTTTCGCAATCATGGTGTACCACTACAGTAGTAGTCGTTGAGGGAGTAGAAGTATACCTTCTTTTTACATGGTGTACTGAGGTTTGGAGAACACTTGATGATTGAAATTGGCGGGTTTTGATTCAATGCTTTATCTCGATTGGAGGCATTTTGAAGTGTACACTGAGGAGCCGGAGTGGCGTGAGACTGGTTCAGCTAATTGTTTAATCGTACCTGGGTCGATTAAATGTCGATCCTAAATTTATGTCACTTTTTTATTGGATTTTTCTGCACGAATTATCGCTCTTGTTGAAGCGCCCTTCTCTAACGCTGAGCAGTTGCATCGTGCCGGCTGCAGTGTGAAAAAGAATGATAGACTTCGGTTTGTTGCGTAGTGCTTTTTTCGGATTTGTTTTTTGTTTGTTCGAATTGGGTATTCCTACTGGAGTACACAGTAGGGAGGTAGTCGCTGTGCTTTGCAGCGAGGTTGTCCAAATTGTTGGTTTAGTTTTTTTTTGAGTTTTGGTGTTATTAATTCATGTTGTGGAACCCCGAGTGCTCAGGTGGGGGAGGAGGGCACATTACCTTCCCATGTTTCACAACAATCAAATGTGATCGTTCGTCTTGCTTGCCCCTTGTAGTTTGCAACCATTACCTCATGAACCTGACGTCAACCATGTGTGACTGCCCTTCTATTCGCTTCGAGTACCCAACAACTAAATATATACTTTCCATGTAGTCTTTTCATTAATACCTTGCCAGATATATTTTAGTGTAGAGGTGGCATGATTGCTGGCATTGCACAGCTTTGAGGCTTAGATGACTTTTCCAGCCATTCCAAGGTGATGACCACCTGACGTACCTGGGACTAGAACTTCTCATAAACCTTAACCAAGGGGTTTTGTGCCATAACCCATCCTTTTCTTTACAACATGAAGTACAAGTCATGAGGGTTTTCACAATAGGGGGTGTGACACATAGGAGATGTGTGGATGAACATAATGTTCAATTATGTTAAACCATGATGGAGGCTTTTGTTTGGAAAATAAAAAAAGATAACAAGAATGAAATTTTTTTGGAGAAATAAGTATCTGGTGTGCTCCAAAAGAAAAAAAGAAAAAAAGAGAAAAATTAACAGTCATTTTTGCATTTGATCCCTCAACCAACATATAGTCACACTAAACCACCAACTTCATCCTTGTAGTTTGTCAATTATTGGTGGGTTTGGAATGGACTTGGAATCGTTTTACATGAAGAACTATTGTTTTTGGATTTGTGCAAGGGTAGTTTAAGGTAAGGTCTATGGGATGGTTCAGGAACATGACATAGTTTAAGGTATTTTGACATTAGCGTGGATAAAGGAGAACTTAATAAGTGAAGGGTGGAGGAGGAAGATTTGCTTAATCTAAAGTATTGAGGTGGCATTATGGTCTAGGTAAGGCACTTCTACCTCCTCTTTCTCAATTTCCACCTCTTTTATTGTCACAAGCACTTACTAATTTTGTAGTTGGATAGTATTAGCTTGGCATGCTCTATGTTGGAGTTTCTTGTGACAACCTTTGGATCCAAGGTCAGCATCTTGTCAACAATTCACCAAGTTGTGATTGGCTAGTTTAGGTTTTCACCAAGTCTTTCACGACTCCTTTTATAGAGGTTGACAATCACAAATGATGACTTTATTAAGAAGATTAATACATCCTTCTCCTTTTTTAAAGATCAATGTCATCATTCATTTTCTTATTTATTTATTTATTTATTACTATTTTTATTCTTAAATTATAAAGATTGAACGAACTTCGTTTTTTGCCAGTGCCCGATAATGTTCATGTCGACTTTCTCCCAATGCTTTCAAGTTCACACACAAGCTCTGGAATAATTGAAAAGGACACACTCGAATTACAGCTTCAGCGCAATTACTGCATTGCAGTAAAATGTAAAACAATTCATAATGTTACATTGACTAACAAAGAAATCATATGAAATTTACTCAAATTCAGTTATTAGACAATTAGCTAATCTAGAGCGAATATACAGCTCGATTTAATGGTCTGCACAATTGTACAATAATGCAGCACAGGCAGCAATGCTCCTGACCTTGCGCAAACATACGTAATCTATCTTATTCTCATATTGAAGCTGACCGAGGTTAGTTTATTGCGAAGACAACGGATACAGGGACCGAACCATCACACTACACTATAATCTCACCAGCAAAGAGTTCAAAATGGTGATAAGTTAGATCCGACATTCAGCTTCATAGTATCTATTACACATCAATTCATCTCCACCTACATTGATGCATAGGCCAGTGGAATAACACCTTGCAGACCGCAATCTAGATTTGAGCCCGGGTCATCCAACTGGAAGGTGTCCCTGAGGAAGGTCAAGTAGTGGGAGATTCGTGACTGCATGCGAGGATCTTCGCCGTGGCCGCATTCGACATCACTTGCCTTGACATTGATGGTCATGCCGAAGCCAGGCTTGCGATAAGCGAGGGTGTCATTCTTCGTCGGCACCCACTTGCCAATCATAATCTCGTGAGGAGATGGTCTCGTCTTGGCAGGCGTCATCCAGTACCAAACAGCTGCTTGCCACGCAATGGTTTCGTTCTGGGAGAGAATTTCAGGGTGGTGTAACAGGTCCTGCTTCAAAGCCACTCCTGTGGGACCATAGTTGTAGTTCCTGAAACCAACAGAGAGTCATGACTCTACCTCAGAAGCCGAAGACATAATCAACGAAATTTGGCAATTAGACCTGACTGTGTGTAATCCTCTCAAACTGATCAACTTTACATGCCACCTTCACAGCTCGTACCAGTAGAGGGGAAACGCTCCACGTCCGTAGTAACCAGCACCCGGTGCGCAAGGGTACATCAAATCGCCCGTCTTGCAGTAATCCTTTTCAGGCGCGAGCTCTTGGTTGTAGCACAGTCCCCACGCTGTAGGACCGTCCTTAGCTCCACTCCATCCACCTGTTAACCAAATGACGACGGTTGTGTGTAAGTTTTTGCCTGTCTATATCTGTAGGACACAACAACGCATCGACACAGCCAAGGCCACAAAATCATTCAACTTCAAGAGCCGTTCCGGTTGCTGCCTGTGAGAAAGAATTAAACCTGTCCTTAAGTACAAAACCCCAAAGAGAGTCACAAAGGATGAAGTCAGACATCGATTAACAGGAGAGGGATGCAATGGAGGGAAACCGATAAGATTTCCAGCAAAGTGACCACTCTCCCTGCCTGCAAACGCCTGACCGACCTGCAATGACCACCGGCTATTGCAGCCATAGCTCACAATTCAAAACGGTTCCCCTCCAATGCTGCGCAAACCTGCGCTTCTGGAAGTGGAGTCTCAACCATGTCGTACATCTCTGGCTTGGACGGCATTGAGACGAGAGCTAACCATGGAGAAGGAAATCAATAACACGATAAAAAATATCATTTCTCACCCCGACCCTTGCATCTCAGCATTTACTCAGACTTACACGAGGTTTCGTGCGCGACATGAGCGAAGAACGCCGAGAGCTCCCGCTTCTGCACATCCTCGCCACCTACCATGCCAAAGCCGTCCTTCTCGAACATCTTAGCTGCAGCGATAAAGCCGTCGTAGCTCCAGAACCCCTGCGCGTGGGCAGCCTTGTCGTTGCGGTGCTTAAACATGGCCTCGAACATCTCCGCGTTGAACAACTCGCTCACAGTCTTGTTGCAGCCTTTCTCCTTGAACTCCTTGGTGCACACCAGAGCGTTGCTCACCTGCGAGCACGCTCCGAGAACCATAGCCACCAGCAGCACTGCAGCCGCCATCTCCGACGCCCTCCCCATTGCTCACAACTCCACAATGCGACTAACCCACTCCGTTTCACTACTACAGAAGCACCCTTGAGGTACAAGTAGAAGCAGGCTCGAGATGAAAAACGCTAGTGGAGATCCGAGGCTGGACATACAGCGAGAGCTCGTGAGAAGAGGCTTGCTGATTGAGTGCGAAGGCGTCACCTTTGAGCCCTGTCAGATGTGGGGTCTGCAATAATTCATGTGAAAGAGTGGCAACCCCCCCCCCCCCCCCCCCCCCCATCCCTACCGTCCACCCTTCCCTATATTATCGCCCTCCTCCCACCACCTGAATCTTCTCCCTGAAGCTCACTTACTCACTCACTGCCACAGCATTAACAACCAACACACAACACGACACTGACCACTGCTCCAGCTCTCTTTCAAGCTTCAGCTTGCTAATCCTTTCACAATGTGCCGAGTTTTTGGCGGTGACTGGCATCTAAAGCCCTCGTCTAACTCTGGCTCCGGACCTGGCCAAGCTGCAGAGTTAGCGTTGCCTGGTGTCTCTGTGCGTGATGAGTATGAGATGGCTGTCGTACAGAGCCAAGCTTTTAGTAAAGATGGGCCAAACTGAGTGGCCATTGGGTTCTGGAAGCTCGCACAATGCAACGCCGGTATCCTCCATCTTTTCTGTTTTTTTTGTTTGCCTGCGTTATTATATAATTTGTGTGAGTATTCGTACTTTCTCTTTTGGGGTCTACAGTTCGGGAGGAGGGGGGGAGGGTGTGTGTGTGGGGTGGGATGTGGAATCTCTTTGCGCAGGGACAGGATGTTCTTCGTTTCATTATTGGAGACAATTTTTTGCTGGATGTTGTGAGGTTATTGTAATGCAAACAAGAATAATAATAATAATAATAATAAAAGGGGTAAAAAAGTGAGTGAATAAAAAGTAAATAAGATGATGTTTTTGTCCTTCATGTGTTTGTGCACTGTCTTAAGATGCAAAGCACATGAAAAAGATGGTTGCTATAAACGTAAAAAGAATATGAAATACTTGTCATATTCTTTTGTATAATATTTGGTTGTCAACTTTCTTGATTTGATACTAAAAATAAATAAATTGCAAGCTTACTATATATAGTTCTTCCTTCAGCTATTACACTATCTTTTTGTCATTTGATTTATCTTGTAATATACAAATTTATTGTAGTATTGCAAGTACATGGTAATCAAACGAAACTTGATGATAGTTGTAGTTGTAAGCTTGATCTAAAATCAAGAGTTGTATTTTTAAAGTCTCATTTAATTTTCTTAAAATTTTATCTTTCTTCCAACTTGGTCTCATAGAGCTTCTCTTTATTCTTATTTTTAGTAGGTTATTAGAAGAAAATATTTTATTTATATATACTTATAGTTAATATCCAAAAAAGATATAAAAGTATCATTGTTAATTATAGTATCTAATTTATAATATTAATAATATATTTTTTTGGTCTAAATAGAATAAAAAATAAGTATAAAAATAAATATAAAAATAAATTTTAGAAAATTATTAAATAAGTTGTGCAAAAAATATTTTAAGACATTTAATATTTCTTTGATCTTTGCTAATCTATGAGGAAATTTCCTATATTGTACTAAGCAGATCCTACAAGTTATGTGATTGGATACACCAGCTATAACCAGTACAATCTTTGTGATGTTGATCTTTATGGTTATTCACCTATTTTCACTCTTATGAAAAATCTTTGTAGCATAGAATATCAATATTCATATAAATGCAATAAAACAAATAATATTAGTTTTCTATTTTTTGTCCATCTTCTATGTGCATAACTTATAAAAAGATATATATTTAGCATAGTTATTGATTGCACATACAAAATAAATAGGCTTAGAAAGCGTATGCTACATGTTGTGGATATCACAAGTTTCAACACATCTTTTACTATTGCAATTGTATTTCTCTAAAAGAAAACTAAACCATTTTTTTTTTTTTTTTTTTGCAGATTGATGCAATCTTTTTCAGTTGGATGGAAAACTTTGATCCTTCACTCTTAGTATTGATAGGGATCTAATACTAATAAATGTCATTGAAGATGTTTTTTTCCACATCAATAGTATTGCTTTCTATTCAACAAATTTAAAATAAATATGTTAGTCAACTATAAGAAATTCTTTCCATCCAATGAAGATGGAAGTTGGTCTAATTTTCTTACAAATTGGACCAATATGATGAATTTTTCTTCCAAAAAAGCTTTAGACATAGAATAGACAAATTTTTGTACCAAGTTTGTTCCTCCACCTACAAATAAAGCTATTGAATATCTTTAAAAAATATAAATTCTTTACAAGAAATAATTCATAAAATCTTGAATAAATGGTACTTTCTACCTTGATTGTGTGAACATGTTACATATGAAGAATAAAATTTTATTCTAAAGTCCTATGTCAAGGTCTCCACTAAAGATCTTTGAGATATATAGATTTTATTTTTTTACTTTTTAAAAAATATAATTAAAGAAATTGAAGTATAAAAGAGCTTTGAATGAATTTAAAGTCTGCTACCAACATTATATTGGTTTTTTTTACAAGTATTGTAAAGAAGATGTCAATTCATACTTTGAATCTTATATTTGAGCAATTTCAATTTGTTGCATTCCTTATAAATAGCAACAATACTCTCTATTCATGTGCATTTATAACCACAGTAGAACTTTCTTATCAATTTTGAATTTGAGAGATATTGCACAATGGTGAAATTTTGGTAATCTATGATTTTTACAATCAATATCACTTAGTAAGTATGAATCTTTTGATGGCTAAGTCAACATCAAGGAATTTTTTTGCTTCCATCAAATTAAATTCTATTTTTTTTTTTAAAGAAATTGGTCCTACATATAAGCTGGTCACATGCCACCAATAACAAAATATACGTGAACAACTTTTGTAGCTAGCAACAATGACCATGGCTTTGGAAAATCTAGCAATCAACTATCAAAAAGGTTGTTCAAGAAATTAAATAAATAAGTCCAATCAATCTTATATATATATATATATATATATATATAACAAGTTCTATACAACATTCTTTTTTTTTTTAATTTGAATTTTTTAATGCTGCAATTATAAATATATGCTATTATAGAAATTAAAAATATATTGGGTACAATAATTACACTTATCCTTCTTGTGTTGTTTTTACTTTACAATCTTCTGTAGTTGGACTGCCAATAAATGAATTTGTGGTAGAAATGTTGCAACCTAATCTAAATAAAATTTGGATTTGTTATGGCTTGCCAATTAAGTAATCTATATATAAGTTGGAATTAAAGTAATAATCTAAAAAATTAATTTGAGCATAATTTAGATTTATTGTGCTCATTTAAGTTTATTAAAGATTATTGTAGTATTTTAAGTTATATATTTTATAAATTATTATTGCCAATATATAGAAATAAAGAATTTATAAGAAAATAGGAAATAAAATACATTAATTTTTAATATATATTTTAAAAAATAAAATAAATCTATATAAACATAAAGTTCTTAATGACCTTTTGAATTACTTTTATAAGAATAAATTAAAAGTATTATAATTTTAAAGTAGAATTCTATATAAGAATTATGTATTATATTTTAAAACAAGATAAGATTATGCAATGAGGTTGTATCCAAATTTTAGTTCCATAAAAACTTAGTCTTTTATGTACATCATTGACAAGCCATTCTTATATATAATAGCTATTGTTTATTGGTTAGCAAATTTGGATTTGATAATTTATTGTTGATTTTGTACTTGAATCCATATGATATGTAATTAATCTACCAACTATAGAATCATGTACAATGATGATAGATAGTACAATAAATATTTCTTTACTACAAATAATTTCTTTGTACACATTCATTCTCACCAATTAAATAAAATAACATTTATTATATATAACTTGTACAGGGCAAAGTCATTAAAGGGTGTCTAGGAAGGCCCTTGTAGCATGCGGACAACAACTATCGATCTTAAGGCTGAGCATCAAAGCTACACAAGTAGATGAGAAATGACATTTTTATCTTACTTCCTCTTTGAGACTTTCAATGGCTAGCTAAACATGAGCTTAAGACACATTGATACAAAACAAAACAATCCAACTTGACAAAAAATAAATGTAAAAGGGTTTTAGACATGAGAAGAGAAATGTGGACGTAGCAACAACTATAAAGTAATAAATAAGAGACAAGTTGGCAAATTGGATAGCATCTAATATAAACTTTGCAATCACATATATAATGTTGTATTATAATTTTTCTATTTAGATTAAAGAAACAAGAAAATATTAAATTATAAATAAATTTATTTTAAAATATAATAGAAAATTACCTTAAAAATATAAATAATAATTAAGGAGATAATAAAACTAATAAGTCCATTTTTTTTATAAAATGAAATTTTACTCACTTTATAGAACTATAAAAAAGACAAAATAAAATAAATTAGCAAAATTAATATCATGGACTTGATTAAGTTTTTTTTAGGATTTTTTTAAGGTTTAATTAAAGTTATGTATAAATTAATTAAAAATTTTCTAAAATTTTATTAAAATTTGATTAGAATTTAAATAAATTTTTATTAATATTTCATATAATTTTATTATAATTCTTTTTGGATTTTATTAGAATTTGATTATGATTTGATTACAATTTTATTATAGTTCCTTTAGAATTTTATGAAAGTTTGATTATGTTTCTTTTAGAATTTTATTAGTATTTAGTTAGGCTTATTTAGAACTTGATTAAAATTTTATTAAAATTTTATTAGATTTGACTAGGATTTGAGAAATATTTTATTAGAATTTGATAGGATTTGATAAAATTTGATGAAAACTTAATTAAAGTATATTAAGGATTATTTAAATTTTATTTTAAATTAATTAGAGTATGATAAGATATATTTTAGATTTATCTAATGTTGATAGAATATACTTAAGATAATTAGAAGCTTACAATAGGTTGTTTAAGGTTGCCAAAGGATACTTTAAATACCTTCTACATTATTTTGGATTATAAATAAAACTTTAAGATAAGATCAAATATTTCTAAAGTTAGATGCCTAATATATTCTTAGGTTAGTTTTTACATAACACAATAGCAATTCTGCACAAAATTGCTTATTGTCAATGTATCCTAATTTTCTCATCTTAACATCTTGTTGCTCAATTTCCATTATTGTATTTAATC